CGACGCACAACGTGCCGTACTCGGACCTGGTCAACCCGGGCACGGGGCGTCCGTGGAACCAGCAGTACATCATCACCAAGGTGACCACCGGGCAGCTCACGCCGACGCTGGACGAGACGCACACGCCGACGTGGGTGCGCGAGATGGCGGCCGTGTGTCTCCAGAACGACCCAGCGTCGCGTCCGACGAGCATGCAGCTGGCAGCGATGTTGCAGCGCCTCTGAGGGATGCCACCAGTTCTGCAGTTTGCACAATGAATACCACAAATTCTTCCTGCTTAGCTCTGGACGAGATCCCAGATTGGTCGATTAGAAGTCTTGGAATGCGATTGGAGATTCGTTGTGGGCATCCGACGCCATAAGACAGTGTATGCGTTCAGACAGAGTTTCAAGATTCTGTGAACGCGCAGTGTGAAGCCAAATCGCAGAGCTGCCTACACGCAACGATAGACGGCAGACAATATTACACCCATAATGTCTAAAATATGGTTGATGTAATTGCTGTTGAGACTCAAAAGGTTGCCAATGACACTTACAGAGTACTACAGCAGGGGAGAAAAAGAACTCTGTGCACTGCAATCATCCAAAACAGAATATGAGCTGCATCCGAAACAGTGTTTAAGTCATACAGTGGCTGCATTCTAGTCCACGAATGTTTAAAAGGAACTGTGCAACCGTACTCCGTACAATGCCACTTGGACTTGGCTACGCCACTTTGGATTCAAAATGCCCTCGGGTTGACGCGACGCTACCTGTCGCCGCAGGTGTTGCAAGTGAAACCGCCTAAATGCACAAAGAGCAGATGACGACTACCGCATAAATTGTGGGTACCTAACAAACGTGCCTAATAAAAGCGAAGAAGAGAAGAAGAGAAGGTCGTCTTTCGAAAGACGTTCTATCGTCCCATCGTCCCGTCGTCCATCGCCATGTCCTTCGAAAGTTGACCTTCTAGCGCCGTTGAACGATAAAATAGATGCCGTATAAAATACACTTGATTTTTGTATGTATTTTTGTCCCCATAAATGGATCCATTTTCGTACCGAGTTTCTACCAATGGCAGTGCGCTAAACTTCCAGATACAATCCGGATGCTTGTCAGCCAATGCCTATGCTCCATGAGGACCGCCAGCCAATGCCTATGCTCTATTCTTGATACT